GCAGTTTTGTTTTTCAAAATATATGCAAAGATTGTGTGTGGGGGGGTTTCAATGTAGTGTGGTGGGAGAGGAACAGTGGGCAACAATTATAAACGCCAAAAGCGTTTTTCTAGCGGCCTTGTTGCGTTTTTTTTTTTTTCTGTATATGTATAAGATTAACTGTATTTACACAAATACATATATGTGTGTGTATGGTATATATAGTATTTTTGTTATTTATTTCTAGCTCTTGCTTTATTGTCTTTTTTTGTTTTGTACATAGTTTTATTTGTTAAAAATATACACATTTTCCGACTATTATATTTTATATTTGTTATTATTTTATATTTGTTGTTGATGAACTTATAGTGATTTTCCACTAAATAAATAAATAAATAAGAAATATAAAAATATTAGTATAAACTTTGCTTTTTGTAAGAAATATTTGTATTCTCATTTTTTAGCAGTGTTTTTGTTGCTGTTTTTATCTCCTTCTGCGTTCTTTATAGTTTTTCTTCTTCGTTTTTCGTTGAGGCGTATACGTAATGTGCAGGGGAAAAAAAATACACAGATAGAGAGAGGGAGAGACAGAGAGAGCGAAAACAGGCAGGCATACGTCAGGGGGCATTACGTATACGCCGCGTGGTCGCGTCGCCATCGTATTTTGTACTACCTCTCCTCCTTTTAAGTTGTTTAAGTTGTTTCTGTTGTTATATCTTAAGAAAATTCTTGAATATTTAAAGATATCACCCAAAAAATGGCTTATCGTACAAAAAAAACCTGAAATATCCGAAATTTAAAGAAAATCTATCACAGAGGTAGAAGAAAAAAAGCAAAAGCGGGAAAACTCTGAAAAAATAATATCCTTCATCCCCAAAAATGATCATAAAATATATACATATACATTTGAAATGAATTTCAGAAATATTTGTTTATATTTCATCAAAGCCTTGCACAAAGAGAGATAGGAAGAAATAATGGCGTAGAAGAGAGAGAGAGAGCTCGCGGGAGAGAGAGAGAATTAATTGCCGCCATACGTTTTTGCAGTATATACTCTCAAAAAATGCTCAAGCAGATGTTGTTGTTGTGTTTGTTCTTTCCTTTTGATTTTTGTTTCGTTTTCGTTTAAGCTTTTTTTGTTGCTGTGCGTTCTTTTCGTTGTTTTTGTTGCTTTTGTTGGCTGTTTTGGCTATTCCACTTTTTGTTGCCTGTTATCTTGTTGATGGCCGGAAGCATGCGAAAGCTTTTTGGCGCTCTCTTTCGCCCGCTCTCTCCCTGTCTCTCACAATCTCTCTTTTGTTGTTACGTGAAATGTTTGGAAAGCTGTGGCAATAATTTGTGTTTTTGTTTTATTTTTATACGAATGCTTTTATAGAACAAAAAGAAAAAAACAAAAATAAAAAGGACAACAAATGCCACAAAGAAATTAAATGAAAATATAATTAAATTTCATTTCTGCTTTTTTTATTTTTATTTATTTTTTTGCTAAAGGCCACAGCGCAGAAAGCCGGCATCTAATACATTTCCATGCCCCTCTCTTCATCTGTTTCTCTCTCCTCTCCCCTCTCCTCTTTTGCATATTTTGTTTACTTTTTTGTTTTGTTTGATTGTTTTTGATACTTTTTTCATTCTCACGCTTCTTTACATTCGTTGTTATTTATTGTATTTAAAGAGGAAGCCACTCATTTAACATTTTCTCCATATAGATTTTCACATCCATCTCTTTATATCTCTGTTGCGTACTCCCTCTCTATCTCTCCTTCTCTGGCTCTTCAATTGGGCGACAATTTTCACAACAACAAAAATCATGCTGGTGGCTGTTGGTCGAACGGGAGGGGGGATGGGTGCAGAGAAGTTGAAGCGGGCAGGATGTTCACTCGCACGATGATTACAAGCAGTTTTTTTTTTTTTTTTAGTTTGTACAGTGGGTGCCAGGTATTAAGATAGCACAGGGTATGCTATGGGTGGGTACTGCTTGACCAGCGGAGAGTGTAACTGTTTTATTTTAATTTTTACTATTTCTGCAAGATACATCTCTCTCTCTCTCTCGCTCTCATGATTAGTCATTCATTTTTTTGCACTAGATGTGGGGCATTCTCCTATTATAATTTTTGCCCCTACGATATCTTATTGGAATTAGGGGGGAAAGCAAATAATATGGTTAAGTCAGTGTAAAGGGTATCAAGGGTGCGCTAATGTGCAAGTAGTTCGTTTACTAAAGAAGTGTCAGCAAGAAATGCTCGATTCCAAGTATTTTATCCGATAAGGATGTCTCGGAAAGGCTGCAAGTGTTATTTCTGGTAGAGCGGCATTTCCTGCTAAAAATAAACACCATTGTATCCTTAAGGTCAAAGTTCACTTTCCTATTGTGGAACGGGGGGTATCCGAAAGTCGTGTCTGTGTTGCATGCTTGCTTTTTGGTGGTTTACTGCTAAAGTGGCTCTACCCCCTCTACCCCCTGTTAGAATGCTCATTATATAGCATATAGCATATAGCATATACTTGATGTACATACATATATCGGTTTTTGTATCTATGTGTGTGTGTGTGTGTGTGTATATCTGAATGAATCATCATTCTACATGAACACAATCATCAGCAACGGCGTCATCCAGTGGCTGGCCCCTGGCTGGCGTTTCATTAGCGATTGTTGTTGTTTATGTTCTTTATTTCAGTTTTTTATTTTAGCAAAGCAAGCAGCACACGCTCAGGTACAGTTACCACCATGTGCTTGTGCTGCTTGCTTGCTGGCTAATTGGGGGAGAGCCACCGGCTAGAGAAGAGTGCCACCAAAATGCAAGCGTAGCCTCATTTCCTCTTCCTTCTTCTTGTTTCCTTTCTCCTCACCACACACTCGCACACTTCCATTCATCCTTGGGCACACTTATCCCCTTGTATTCCATCATTCTATCCACTGAATGCACTGACTGACGTTTGTGGGTGGCGGCTGTCCACCCCGATGACATTTAAAGCAGCTGCCTGCCTGCCTGCCTGCTGATTCTTCCTTCCAATGCTTCCTCTCCTGCGTTCCTTCCAAACTGCTTGCCAACCCCAAAGGTCTGCGGGTCACAGAACATTTGACGTTTCTAGAACGAAAAATGTGACTAGGTGGCGGCGGCGTCTCCTCCTAATCTCCACACATTCAAAACAACAACAACATCGAAGGAGAGAGTGAGACAAAGAAAAGACAAATAATAAACAAAATAAAATGAAAAGCGAAGAGAAGAGAGGAAAAGAGCGGCTCACAAGGCCTTCTCTCTCTCTCTCTCTCGTTGGAAAGCAAACAAAAAAGATAAACAAAACAGAGCATATACAAAAGACAAAGAGACGTGAAAGAGAGAGCGCGCGCTGTGTTTCGGAATTTAAGAGAGCGAAGTGTATCGGTGCGGTGGCGGCGGCATGTGTATCGGAACGTCATTCAAGCGGCTACCACCACCACCATCACAGTATCTGTTTGTTTTTACTTGTGGCTGCCTGTGTGTGTTTAATAAATAGTTGCATTTGTTGTTGTTCTTGTTGTTGTTGTCTCTAAGCGGCCATATTTGCTAATTAATTATGTCAAAGGCAGCCATAGCCATAGCTATAGCTCTCGCGCCTTCGGGTAAACACACACCTCTCCGATGCCATTCCACCTCACGTTTTCACACCCACCCCCCACACCCCACAACCCATACACAGACACTGCTCTTCGCATTGGCCTGTCCCTCACAAAAACCACGTTGTTTCAAAGGTTAAAGAATACAAGGTGAGGCCTTTCCAGAGAGCGCTCTCTGGAAAGTCACAAAATGTTTTTCTTTGTGTATCGTTGCCTCAATATGTAAAGGACGGAGGAGGAGCGAGAGAACGTGTCAGAAAATAGGCAACTTGAAGACCAACCTTTCACTCTCTCTCTTTTTACCTCTCCCTCACACTTATATCGTGCAAAAATGTTTCAAATTGTTTATATATTTTTTTTGTATCGGTTTTGCCGCTAGTTTTCTTGTTGTTTCTTGTTTTCCAGCAGCAGCAGCAGCAGCAAAACAAAGTTGTCAAGACAACGACGTAAACTTTCGAAAATTGGTAGAGGAAGGCCAGCTACAGAGGCCGAAGCTTTTGATATATACATATGTATGTACTTGCGGATCGATCGCTATATGATATTTATCATATCGTTCGATATCGATTGAATTTTAAAATTTTAAGACTGAAAAGGTTGAAAATGTTTATTTGTTTATTTTTCTGCATTGCAAAGTCATAAATACCCCGCTCAGCAAAGGGTATGAAAATACTGCGTCGCAGCGTTGCTCCCAGAGCCTTGTCTATTTATTTGAGATGCCACTGTGACGGGCGAGCGGGAGAGACGGCGTTGCGACGCCGCCAGTTTTGGAGGTCGTCGTAGCCAGTAGTAGTATAGAGGCAGCGACAGCGACAGCGGCAGAGGGAGCTTTTTATTTGTTTTTGTGCTCTTCTTATTGTTGTTTCTCTGTTGCTATCGCTTTGTGCGTTTTGTTCTCAGTCGGTCGTTCTCGTTTGTTGTGGCGCGCTTTATTGTTGTTGCTGCTCTTTGCACATGCAAAACAAAAAAGAGGATAGAGAGAGACTAAGAAGAACAACTAACGGCATGTCAAAGTAAATTTCTTTGCCGGACATTTTTTAGTGTGTGTTTCTTGTTGTTTTACCTATACCGTTGGAATGTACATATATTTCGGCTATGTTGAAAATCAATAAATAATAATACACTTTGTTGGCTGCCACCCCCCCCCATGACACCTACATATAGCAGCCGTGCTACGTGCCGCCGCTTGCCTGCGCCTGACAGCGCAAACAGTTGGCCCAAAAAAGGCAAATGAATATTTAAGTTAATGCAAACTGCGCTTTAGGGTTTTAGGGTGGTGAATGAATATTAGATGAATTCAATTGTTGGACGGCTAAGTGAAGTAATTATTGATTTGAAGGCTTGAAGACTGAGTAAAGTAAATTATCAGAAAGAATGAAATAATCCTTAAGACTGAGTGGAAGCAACAAGAGAGAATGAACTAATGATGAATGAAGGAATAAATAAATATGAGAAAAAATTAATGAAGTTTCTTCTGTGATGTCTTGAAAAATCGAACGGGGATCATCGGTAAAAACTGTAGCTTGGGTGTATACAGGAATGCATATGTAAGTACATTTATACATACATATGTATGTACATATGTATTTATGCAAAAGAAAAAAAAAGGAGATGGGGGTTGTGGGTGAATGCTTGAATGAAATAATAAACTTTGGACTCTCTCTTTCATTTATTGCTGTTTCTGTTAGATTTTCATTCTCTTCGATTGCAAGCATAGAAAAGCAAACTGTAACCAAAGCCCAAAACTCAAACACATGAACCAGCCAGACACGAAAGACACGAAACTAAAATGAAAACTGCTGATAAGATAATCCACTAATCACTCACACATGCCAGCAGAGGCAGCAGAGGCAGCAGACAGCAGTCACAGCACTGGGCAGAGCAGCAGACAGCAGTCACAGCACTGGGCAGAGCAGCAGGCAGCAGGCAGCAGGAGTGACTGAGTCCGAGAAAGCGGGCGGGCGGGCAGGGCAGGTGGAACCTAACAGTCAGACAGAGCGCGATATTTGCTGCCAGCGACGCGAGCCGGGCCGGGCCTGTGGGTGACGTCGCCGACGTTGTTGCTGGCGACGCGTCGCGTCATAAAACGGCACAAAAAGCTAACACGCGTAAACAAGCTAAGCAGCAATAAAATGGCAGCAACAAACGAGAGAGTAGCAGCAGCAGCAGCAGCAGCAGAAATAGCCAGACAGAGATAGACATACTGAGATAGCCAGAGTGACAGAGCAGCAAAATTGAGCACACAGTCGCGGTCAAAATAATAGGAATAGTTATGATAATAAGAAGGATATGGTAATTATGCAAACTACAACAAGTTTTATTTTTGGGTGGAACAATCGGAAATATCATGTACGACAAATCGAATAATCAAAAAATTATTAATATGCATTTTTTTTATTTATATGCATAATAAGATACAAATTAAATACTTAAAATTTGTGTACTATTTTATGTTCATGTACATATGTATGTATGTGTAATATTGTGTGTTCATTCAGCAGCAGTTGCACTATTATTATGCCCGCTGCTGTATGAACACATGCGCGTACATTCGTTGTACGTGTGCAACAATGCGCAGCAAAGTAGGCAATCAATGCTGTGTGAAGGACGTTCGCTGCAGCATCGACAAAAAAAAACAATGTGTCTAGTCATGCTCACGACATCCAATTAATGACTGGCATGCCCCAAAGTGAAGCAACATTGATAATTTCGCCAATCAATCATTATATCATCAAAATGGCTAAAAATACTTGACGAAATGTATCTGAGTAAAATTAGCAAAATTAGCAAAATTAGAAAAATGAGCAAAATGATTGCTCCAAAGAATTTCAGATTTAGCGATGAGACAATATCTTACAGATACAGACGAGTGAGCCACTCATGATCATGATCGCCGGCTGAATGGTGATGATGGTGATCTGAGTCAGTCAATAAGCTTTACTTTAATTGTTGAAATCAAAATAAAACAAAACAGAGACATCTGATTTTCTTATAAATAGAAGAAGAGTGACTCAACATTTTATTTGATTTAATTTTATTTTTTTTTATGCTGGTGAATTCTGGGGAATTAAAATATTCTCTTCGAGTTCTCTAATTTGTTGCGATTATGAATCGTTAAATAAAAACAAATTGTACATATGTGTCCTTTGGCTTATGGGTAATTTGTTTATCGATTCAATGTACAAATAAATTCTTAAGATTGTCATGCCCTCGCTAACGCCCTCTTCTCTCTCTCTTGCAGCATGTCCACAGATAATCCCACACAGCTGCTGACCACGCGGGATCTTGGCCAATTGCGTGGCCATCTACAGGCGACAACAGCGCCAGCGCCAGCGACGGCACCAAGTGCCGTACATGGATACCGCAGCGTAATCCCCCCACCTATCAGCACCTCAGCAACAGCAACAGCACCCGCACCAGTAGCAGTAGCAGTAGCATCAACAGCAGCAGCAGCAGCAGCAACAGCACCAGTATCAACATCATCTTCCGTAATATCAGCAGCATCATCCACCACGAGTAGCAGCAATAGCAGCAGCATTCATCACGGAGGTGGCAACATGCAGGCCACCAGCTCAAAATATGTCGTCATCCAACCGAACCACAATGGCGGCTTCACGGCCTACGATAGTAGTGCCAGTGCAGTAGCCACCTCGCCCACGGTCGGCGGTGGCGGTGGCGGTGCCGGAACGGGTGGAAATATTGTTCTTCTAGCCGCCGAGCCCCTGGAAATGGGTTCGGCCGATGCATTGGCCGCCGCTGCAGCGGCAGCAGCGGGTGCGGACGATGGAGAGCTGCGCTCCTTGTCGTGGCTGAGCGACAGCAATCTGATCAAGGGTATTGTCACGAGCAGCGGCCCCACAACGGCCGCATCGCAGGCGAAAAGGGCAGCAGCTGTGGCCCTCAAGGCTCCTGCGGCAGTCTGCCTTGTCGGCGATCTCATTGAGGAGCTGCCGGCAAGCAGCAACGATATGGCGGATGCGGGTGAGCAGCAGGGGACGCCGGGTGGCGTCTACAGTACCACGACAGTGCACAAGGGACCCAGCGGCACCACCACAGTGGTGGAGTACAAGGCCACCAAGACGACGACGACGGCCACAAGAACAAGCTACATGCCTGTGGTGGTGACCAGCAGCAACAGCAGCATCATCACACCAGCAGCACAAGCCACCATTTCGCCCGCCAAGCAGCAGCAGCAGCAGCAGACCCAACAGATATATGTGACCAGCAATGGGACGGGTGCCACAACATACAAGACCTCCTCCCCCACATCGATGGCCACGGTCTCTGTTTCGTCCGCCCTGCCCTGCTCGCCGAATAATAACAGCAACCACCACAATACCACCACCCACCATCCCCACAAGAAATATCTGCGGGAGAAGATGAACGTGGACCACAGCAATCATGTGGCCTCCATGGTGACGGTTGTCAGTTCGCCCGCATCCTCCAACAATTCATCGCTTAGCTCCACCTCCGCTTCCGCCTCCGCCTCCTCCATGTCGGCTAATGGATCATCGGGGGGCATCAATGGGGCTGGAAATAGTCCAGGGCCCAAGGCAGCCAGCAGCTATACCACCGTCTACGAAACGGTTAAGTTCTCTGGCGCTGGAACAACGCCCTGCAGCAGCAGCAGCAGCAGCAGCAACAACCTCAGCAACAGCAACAGCAACAGACAGCACCTGCCCGATCATACGACGCTGATAACCACAACGGGATTGATCAGTGCCTCGTCCCTGACGGGCAGCTATAGTTTTGTGAATCATTTGGCCGGATCCACGCATGTCATGTGAGTATCTCGTGGAACTCTGCCTCTAGGATGGCAGTCAATAAAATTAATCTCTCTCTCTCTATCTCTATCTGATTTTTGGCAGGGCTTCGACGGCACCAACGGAGACGACTCTGGGGGGAGGCGGCAGCATCTACTACACCAATGCCACGCCAATGCAACAGCAGCAGCACCTGCAACAGCAACAGCAACAGCAGCAGCAGCAGCAGCGTGGCATGCATGTGTCTGTGTCGCCGCCACCGCCGCCAATCAATGCAACAATGGGGGCTCATAATGGATCTGGATCTGGATTGAATCTGCGAAGCCCCAACAGCTACAGCAGCTACGAGAATGAGGATTCGCTGAAGGAGTTCGATATGACAGTAAACTCCAGGATGCATACCAGCACCCCCCAATATGTGGCAGCGGCAGCCAAGAGCAGCAGCTACAACAACAACAACAACGCCAACAGTTCCTCCAATACCACCAACGGAGGAGGAGGAGCCGCCGGTGGTGGTGGTGGTGGTGCAGGCAACACACCACAGAAGCAAAAGCATCCCAACAATGTGCCATACGATCCGCTAGTGCATACAAACAACAAGCCGCCATATAGCTTTAGGTGAGACAAAAGCCGATCCTCGCTTTGATTCAATCAAGAAATTGATTTCCAATTATTCCCTGCAGCTCCCTCATCTTTATGGCCATTGAGGGCTCGAACGAGAAGGCGCTGCCTGTAAAAGAGATCTATGCATGGATTGTCCAGCACTTTCCATACTTCAAGACGGCCCCCAATGGCTGGAAGAACAGTGTGCGGCACAATCTGTCGCTAAACAAGAGTTTCGTTAAAGTGGAGAAGGCCCCCAATATGGGCAAGGGTTCGTTGTGGCGCGTAGAGCCGCAACAGCGTCAAAATCTCATCCAGGCCCTCAATCGGTCGCCATTCTTTCCGAATTCAGCGGTGGACAAGATCAGTACATCGCTGAAGAGTCCCAATGGGCAGGGGGCAGCCCTGTCATCATCCGGCGGATACGATGGCATTGATGGAGTGGCTGCCGCTGCCGCCTCCGCCGCTCTCTCCACCAATGGAATGGGAATGGGAATGGGCTGTGGCAACTCTGCGGCTCCAGTGGCACTGGTCACACCCACAAAAAGCAATGGCCTGGTGCTCGCCAACGGTGGTGCTAGTCAATCGGCCGCCATGCCAAACAGTCCATTGGCGAACGCTGGCGGAGGAGGGAATGCCAGTCATGCGCGCGTCGATCCGAAGCTGTTCCCCTATTTGTCCAAGGCCTTCAGCAAAATCCGCGAGGATGGTGGGCCGCCCACGCAGCAGCTGCTCCTCGGGCGAAGCCCTCGATGACGAGGTCTCCGGCGAATATGCGGGCAACCAAAACCAAAACCACAACAGCGTCAGTGGCAGTGGCAGTGGCAGCGGCAGGTACATCTATGTGGGAAACGGAGTTGCTGGTGCTGGTGCTGGTGCTGGTGCTTCTGCTGCCGGCACAAATGCAAGTGGAGATGGCATTAACTTTGAGCGACTGGCGCGCGATTGCGGGGCTGACAGCATGGACGATGTGCATGCTGCGGCGGCCATGCTCTTCCTAAAACACGGACCAAAGGCCTTCACCGAGTCCTTTCAAAATGGGTAAGCTGTTGTGGCACGCTCTCTTAATCCGGCAAATCTTATTATCCCTACCTCTCTCTGTCTGTCAAAGGGCCCCAGTGATTACGAGTTCGCCGAGCGAGGATCACACGTATTCCGCGGGCGGCAATAGCAATGCGGACAGCGGCGCTTCCACACCTCTTATGAATGGCAATATCCTGGCGGGGCAGACACCAGCCCAGATGCAGCTGCAGGCGCAGGCTAATGCCGGCGCAGGATCGGACAGCAATTGCGCCAGCTCTGATGCGGCCTACGACAGCAGCGAGGAGAAGTGAGTCTCCTAATGCGTGCGCGGGGTCCTTGAGTCAACCTAATTCTGCTCCCTCTTCTCCACAGTCACAATATTACGCCCGAGGAGTTGGCCGATCAGCAGCGACATCGTGATGGTGTCGACGCATTGCTCTCACTGTCGCGCTCATCCATCGTTGAGTGCGGGTCGGTGGCCACCACGCACTACCACAGCAACGGGAGCAGCGGCAGCAGTCACGGCTCTCCGCACAAGCGCCCCTCCAGCCACAGTCTGGAGGAGGAGCACGAGCACCACCTCCTGCAACAGTACCAGCCACTGTTGTCGTCCACATCACAGACTGTCTACACGAATGGCAGCGGCAGCAAGATGGCACTCCTCAGCAGTGCCGCCGCCAATGTGGCGTTGGCCCAACAGCAGCAACAGCAGCAGCAGCAGCACCACCACCAAATCCATCAGATGCAGCAACAGCAGCAGCAGCACCATCAGATACAGCAGCAGCACCAGCATCAGCATCAACAGCATACAGAGCTGTACGGCAGCGTGAGTGGCAGCTACTTGACTGGGTTGAATCATTGCCTGCCCGCTGCAACGGGAGCTGGAGGACAGGCGGCCATGTTACCCCAACATCTCAGTGCTGCGATGGCCAATGCTGCGGTAGCAGCAGCAGCAGCGGCGGCAGCGGCCAAGAATAAAGTGAAGCCTGTGCGGGGATTGCGTACAAAGATCAAGCGCAAGTCCGCATGGATGCGGTGAATGTGGCGCCAGGCCGGAGGCCGCCGGAGGACCATCTCCTAGCCCCTCTATAGACACTCGCATGTCCCCTCCATGGCCACGTCCACTGTGTTGTTGTCTCTTTCTAATTGCAATTTGTTCAAATAAGAGCATTTAGTCGTAAGATTTAGTCGATTTCCTCGCCTTCTCGCCCCTCCCCTCACCCGCTCACCCTTTCTTATCCTTTATTTTGAATGTGTGTGTGCTACTCCTTTAATCCTTGTGTTTGTTATACAAATTGATGACTATTTTTGATAGGTTTTAGTTTAGTTTTTAAACGTCTTTTGGACTTGATTCGGGTCCTCGATTGTTGGCCATTTCATCAATATTTGACAATTTTTTTTAAACGATTATACACAAACACACACATACACACACGTTTTATACGCATCATCTATTGAAAACAACAACCCTAAACCTTAACGAATTGTAATTAATTAATAACTTAAATAATTGTAATTACCTTTTGCTTCCCCAAACTTTGGTTTTATTCAATTTTAGGTTTTTTTTTTTTAGTTTGTAATACTTTTTAATTGTTCAAAAATGTTTTTACAACAAAGATGAAAATCGAAGAATCGAAAAATTGTAAATTGAAAATCGTAGATCGAAAATTCTTTCAGGAGAATATTATTTTAAGCTTTTGCTAAAAGTGTGGTGTAGATGTAGAAGAACTTATTTCATTGTTTTTTAATGTACAGCCCTGGATCTTTTCGACTTTATGTCATAATTTCTAGCGTATCAGAGGGAGAGACAGAGTGGCAGGCAGAAGGACGGTTTACATATGTCAAACGACAGACAGACAGACAGACAAATGAAACAATCACAAAAAATTCATTTAAGTAGGAAAATCCTCAACAAAATATTGAAACGAGAAACAAAAACAAAATAAAAAACAAAAAAATTGTAAAACAAAGAAAGCAAATAATTGTAAAATACAAAAAAAAAGCAAGCAATTGTAACAAAAAGAACAAGTAAGAAATTGTACAAAAAGGGAGAAAGCATAATAATTGCAAAGCAAAACGAAAATCGAAGGCATCAAATTTGTAAAAAGAAAAAAGAATAAAATTATACAAAAAACTATGCATTAAATTGTAAAAAGCAAAGGAAAGCAAAACATAAAAATTGTAAAACAAGCAAAAGGGCAGAAACAAAAAACCACAATTTTATACAAAGAGCAACAAATGGTAAAATAGTTTTTTTATTTATTTTTTTTTTCTGCTGTAAGCAACATGTTTTTTATACAAATAAGAATCACACACACACACTCACACACATGAATGGAAAACTACTTGCATGATCTATAAAAAAAAGAAATATATATATATATAGAAGATAGAGAGAGATAAAGAAAGAAAGAGAGAGAGAGAGAGAGAGTAATATATAAGCAGGAAGCCCAGACACACCTAGCGCCTTATGAAACGAGTCCTTAGCAAAAGTTAAATGGGAGATGTTGAGAATTGTTTGAACTGCTTTGTTATACGGATATGCGATCTATATATAGATATATGCTGTATATGCTATATACTGCTAGAACACACCCAACACGATGACACTCAAGAAAAAATGTTAAATCAAAGATATTTAGATATAAGTTAAAGCCACAAAGCAAAAGCGAAACCCTTAATTAAGTAAGGCCACCCCCCATCCTCACTTCCACCACCCCTCTAATGGTTACGTAGTTGAAATGCAACAAAAAATTGTTAATCAGACTCTAAGAAGACTTTAGTTGAAATCAGAACCCTCTACCCCCCTCTAAATCAGAGCCTAGAACGAATGTGTATATACCCAAAATTATTCAAAAGAGCCGTTGAGACGATGTTGCAATCTATGCAAAAAACATAAAAGCAAATCCTATATACATATATATATATACATCTGTGGAAACCAAGAAATACTTATTACCATATAAATATACATATATATATATGTATATCTATATGAAACGAACAGAGGAGGGACGAAAACTGGACAAAGAACGCCCCAAGTGTATACACTTCATGTACCTTTTTAGCAAAAAAAAAAAATAAAAAACAAAAAAACAAGCAAAGAACGCATTAAAAAGTTATATAATTAAATTAAAAACTAAAACTAAACTGAATGTTGATGTCAAAGAAACCAATCTGCTAGTTGTTGCAACAAAGAGAACCAGAAACAAATGAAACCAATGTTGAAATGTTTTTGTTTGTTTGCTCAAAAATTTTAATATTAGGATTCTTTTTTTTTATGTTATTATTACTATTATTTTTTAGTTTAATTACGCGAGAATGGCCTTGAAGCGCATGTGGGGATAGGGAGAACGGTGTGTGTGTGTGTGTGTGGTGTGTGTGTGTGTGTGGAGGAGAAGGAAAAACAAAAACATCAAAATTATTGTATATCTTAAGCTTAAAGGACCCCTCGCCGAGCCCAGCCACACCACAACACAACACAGCACAGCACACCATGCCATGCCATGCCACGATCATCCATGCCCCGCGAAAGACAATCGTCGCCCGAATTGTTGTCGTTTTTCGCGCTTAAGTTGAATACAGTTGAAAGTTCTATGTAGCTCTAGGACACACACAACCTACACTCTACACATATAAATATCTATATACATACACACCTACACACACACACACATACACGACAATAGCAAAGTACATAGATACATATATAAATATTGTTATAAACCATTAAGCTTTATTGTTTATACAGAAACACACTTATATTATATATATATATATATACGAAATCAACGGATAAAAAAAGAGAGAGAGAGCAGGTGGAGACTATTCGCCTGATCCGATCTAAACCGATCCGATCTGATCCGATACGGTACAATGGTACTATACCCTATACCCTTCTTCTGCCCGCGATGAGCAAAACTGTTTTGTTAATGTGTTTTTTTTTTCTTCTATTTTATTATTATGCAACATCATTATTATTATTATTACCATTACTATTACTATTATTATTATTGATATATATATATGCATACATATATGTATATATATATTCGATTTTAAAACTTTTTTGCATACCAAATACACACAAATCAAAATGTGAAATAATTTCGTTTGATTCGTTATCTTTTTTTTGTGTATTACGGAACCGACTGAATTGGGTATTTTTTTTAATAATATAGTAGTATAGTGGTGATGGTGAAAGAGATGATTAATCCGATCAGTATGTGCTAAAATCGGAGTACCGGAATATCAGTGTGTAGAGGCACATTCCTCGACGGTGATATAATAAAGCTCCATCTCTCTCTAAAGGAAGACGTCCGGCCATGGGGATTGATTTCCCTCGATACACTTTCCCATCATGTGCTTTTCATTCGTTGATGGATCGTGAACTGTGAATTTAGTCCATAGTTGTACATACTTATATTTAGGTAACTATTTAGGGGAGATCCGTAGGATCAGTAGATGTCGGTTTATGTTGAGCTATTGTAAGTGCCTGCCCTTGGCCCCGACCCCGACCCCGCCCACGACACGCTCCACTGATTGAAGCTTTGATTGAATACCGCACTGTTGCCAGATTACACGGATTTGTTAGTTAAAGTGTTAGCTTGAAGCCTCGCTCCTTAAGCCCTGCCTTTGATAAAGCCTTGTTGCATGCCACAAACACAAACACACACACAAACATACACTCACAGTCTACAGGGTGTCGCAAAATAATGTACTACATATATCTGTCTCAAAGAAATCAAATGGAGAACCGTCTCTGTGTCACTTTTGAAAAATCTTTTTGTGCGATCTGATATCTACTTATATGTATAGTATATACATATAAATACATACATACATTTATATATATCTCTGAAGAATAGGATGATCAATCTGTTTGCCCTCCAAGGTTTCAAATAGCGCCTGTTTTTATGTCTCTAAAACCTCTGTACAAAAGAAACAAAATAAAATAAAACAAAACTTAAAGAATAGAAAAATGAACAAAAAATATATCGAAACCAACAAAATTAAGCAAATAAATTATGAATTATATTTATATACATACATACATATATAAAAAGTAAATACATACATACATATGTATATATGTAAGCGAAAGCAAAGACAAATTGGATGAGAGCTAAATGTTACCCTGTATTTTTTTAGAAATAACATTTTTCTACTTTTTGGATGATGTAAAACCAAAAACCCACAAAAAAAAAACCAAGAAAAAAACACAAAAACCAATTGAAATGAAAAGCATCTACTTGGTTCTCGTTTGTTGCTAAATTATATAAATACAAAATATATGTACCAAACCAAAAAAAAAAAAAAAACAACAACAAAAAATGTACGAACAAACAAAATGCTAAACAGTTTTGGGACTGATCTTTGGGCCTGCATCACTGTGTATAAGCGAATTGTGTATGTCATACAATAAATAAACTATTCACCACCCATCTGTTGATATCAGGCTTACGACTTTGTTGTGGATAAATACTTTTCAAATGGTCAACGAGTCTGAAACCTTTCAGAACTCCCCTTAGTACTGCTTTTTTGGTCTTTATTCGGTTTGTGGTCGCACTTGGACCATGGCCACACTGAATAGGCAATTTAGTCGTGAAATACTGCAAATTGTTTTCTATATCAAACACGAAATTGCAGTCGCTTGAGAGTTCGAATATTGCATGGGGGAAACAAAAAACAAGAGAGAGATGAAAAACATGGCAAAAATAATCTGAATCCCAGAGATTGATAAGACGGCACGTACAGACGTACCAGCATCGAATGACAATGGCAAAGGTTGCTAATGAAATTCATTTGTTGACATGCCATTTGACTATTTAAATTTTAAATAGTTTGAAATTCAAAGTGCAAGGCCACCACTAAATTGTCATTAGTTAGAAGCTGCTAACAAATCGAAAGCAGAATAAAAATGAATGTTGAAAATGCTTGAAATTTGAGAGGTTTTCAATGTGAATGAGTCCATGAGGGTATTTGTTTTTTCAAATATTCAATTAATAGATGGACCTTAATACTCATATGATACACCATGAACCCCGCCGAAAACTAATAGCACATGAGGTATCCATCTATTATTAAAATAGTACTAGTACTATTTCCAGAGAAGCCAGAGAATATAAAAAAGATAGTTGCCTATTTGCTGTACTTCTGAAAAATGCCTATACATATGTATGTACCATGTGCATATAATATTTATGTATATACAATATACACACTTAATGTGGTCGAATATGTTAATTTTATAATAAATAATGTGAACGCTCTGCAAAGCCCACAATGAATATTATTCACTTAGTTGATAGCTTGAGATCAAACCCACAGCTTATCATGCATGGGTTATCAATTCCAGGAATACAATCTGTATATGTATTTATGTACATATATGTATGTAGTATGTATAATATGAATTGAAAGTGCCAAATTGATATTTATAAATGGGCATCGGGACGATTTCCCTTAGTTTGGTTTCGAATCGACAGACAGAACGCAAGTCAAGCGAACATGAAAAACTCGGGCTTTGTGGTAATCATCTGCTTGCTTTTGCTGCAAGGTAATGTGGCGGAGGAAATGACCATCCTGGAGCAGTGCAATGGCTATTGTTTCTCAGTTCTCCAGCCATACATTGATCATTTACTGCAGTGTCAAGAGGCAGCAGATCACAATAATGGAACAAAAGACAAAATTCAGACAAAAGAGACCATCGGCAATTTGCAGAGCCAGTTACTAAATAGTGGGACGGAAATTAAAAACAAAGATGAGCAAATCACGGATCTAAGAGAGCACATCAAGGGCAAAGATGAGCAAATCACGGATCTCAGAGAGCAAATCACGGATCTCAGAGAGCACATCAAGGGCAAAGACGAGCAAATCACGGATCTCAGAGAGCACATCAAGGGCAAAGACGAGCAAATTAAAGGAAAAGATGAACAAATTAACGGAAAGGTCGAACAAATCAAAGTTAAGGACGAACAAATCAAAGGAAAAGACGAACAAATCAAGGTGAAGGACGAGCAAATCAAGGATCTCCGAGCGGAAATCAAAGGAAAAGACGAAAAAATCAAAGTGATGGACGAACAAATTACAGGAAGAGACAAACAAATAAAGGATAAAGACGAGCAAATCTTGCTTGCCAAAAGACGCGATCAGCCATCGCAAACTAATCCAACGGCGGAGAATCTTCCCGACACATGTGCCAGAGGCTGCCCAAATGGCATTTTCCAGATAAAGGTCAAGGGAATGGATCCGTTCCAAGTTCCCTGCGATTCGTCCGGATGGATGGTCATTCAAAGGCGAATCGACGGAAGTGTGGACTTTAATCGAAATTGGAAGGCCTACAAAGAGGGATTTGGAGACATGCGTGGAGAGTTCTTCATTGGGCTGCAAAAATTGCACTTGATGACCGCAGCTCAGCCTCAGGAATTGTATATACAACTCCGAGATGTTAATGGAACTTATCGTCATGCCAGCTATGACAATTTCATCGTGGGAAGCGAAGAAGAAAACTTTATTCTCAAATCACTGGGTGAATATTCGGGAAATGCAGGGGACTCCCTAAGGGCTCACGAGGGAGCAATGTTCACTACTTTGGATAGGGACAACAAAGTTAAGTGCGTTCGTAAGCTCAGCGGTCCGTGGTGGTTTAAGGATGTCACGTGCGGAAAAAGGTAATTAATCTTTTATTAGTTTTCTAGATAACTCCTTTAATTTCAATTAATTTCCATTTATTTTTCAGTTCGTTAAACGGTAAATATTTCAAAGATGGTATCGCCCATGCATGGAATGGAATTTATTGGGGCCATTGGGTTCCGTTTGATTACCGAATATCACTGACTTTTGTGAAAATTATAATAAGACCTAGGAGTCCACAGACGTGAGGAAGAATATATAAAAAATAAGCTTATAATCATCGTTGGATCGAGAATATTTAAACTCAATAAAATCGATAATTTTTTTTCATTTAAGAAGAATTGAAAATTCACTTACATATTTTAGTTGGTTTGTGCGCTAAGACAACAGACACGCAGGCAGCCGAGCCTGAGCCTAAACCCACAGGTCGAAAGACTCTACAATCGAGAAGATACCAGAGATGGGAGAGTTGGAAGAGTCTTTTATCTCTCAAAATATATATATATATTTTTTTTGGTATCTATACTGGGAATTTGAACACCCGAACGCTGGCTGGGATCAGTATGGATCACCGTAGATTACCTCGTCACTAAAACTGACGGTCCGCTCAGTGTCGTCGGAGGGCGGATCGACGAGAGCTTGGGGGGGAAAGAGACCAGTTTGATTAATTGGTGTGGGCCAATCCACCACATCGCCAATGCCTTCATATTCTATGGGCGGCTGTGTGCCGGACGACGCATCATCCGATTCCGAAATTATGTTGGGCAGTCCCAGTTCGCTCCTACGACGGTCGACGTCGAATGGGTAGAGGTGCAGGCCGAGCTCCTTGTAGCGCCTCATGCAGTCCAAGAAGTTCTGACGGCGGGTCGCCGTCTCGCCCACGCTCTGCTGGACCGAACGCTGGTCGACGCTGCGCCTCTGGTCGGTGGTGGAGCTGCTGTCCGAGTCTCTGTCCGTGCCATAGCCCGAGTCAGAGACATGCTGAGCACGAGATGATACCATCCCGATACCCCTTGGACCTGTGGACGCGGACGTCTCCTCCTCCGGGACTTTGGCGTTGCCAACGTGCAGCTCCAGCAGATGGCCGCTGATTCGCTCCTGCTCGATGCTGCGATCGAGAAAGACTTGCTCCCGCTGGCGATAGAGTTCCAGCTGCAGGCACGACAGCTCGTCGGTTAGCGAGTCATTTAGGTGGGTAACTTCCTCGTTGCGGATCAGTCCCCAGCGGATGGTGCACGGTATGTGGAATGGCATTAGGACGCAGAGTTTGGCCACCAGGCACTTGATCATACGCATCGTCTGGAAAGGGTACGTTGCGGATCAGCTAGAGCTGCAGGGAGTGGGCATGTGGACATGTGGACTGGACTCACCTCGCTGTAGGTTCGCTCCGAGAGGGGATGGATTATCATCTGATTGACCACCCTGCGCAGACATTTTCGGGCCCCAGACAACTCGTGCAGCTCGCTGCGTACCCTCTGCGGAGGATGGGATGGGATAGCATTGTAGTATATACGGTATACGACTGGACTGGAAGCGACTGGACAACAATACACTTACAATGTTCATATCGCTGCAGTTCTCGCCCTCAACGAGCTGATCGAGCAGATCATAGAACTTGTTCTGTGCCTCACTGGCCCGCGTGTACATCACGGCCCGTTGGTTCTTGAACCGCTTGAGGGAGTCCTCAGCCAGCTGATAGAGATCCCTGTCGAGGCGCATATTCTGGTCCAGGTAGGCAATGGCCTCCGCGAAGTGGTATCGCTCCAGTGGTTGTCCCACCAGTTCGGCCTGCTCATCGCTGCTAAAGATCAGCGGCTCCATGTCGCGAAAGCCCGTTCGCCGGAACTCCATCAGTCGGCGGTGGAGCTGTTCACAGAACTCCTCCTCGCCCTGCACGGACTCCACCACTTCCACCAGCTCGCCCAGCAGCCGCACCTTGTTCAGTCTGCCCATCAGCCCCATGTGGCGAGGCGATCTATCGACGGTGGGCCGGGCGAGGACGGATCTGGCGTCCGGCGCGTTGACTATTTCACGCAAATGGCCAGCTATGGGTGGCCGTGCCAGCAGATAGGGTAACGAGTCAATGGTCCTCAGATTATGGGATGCAGACGGCAACCCATTTAGGTTCACCCTCGATATGCTGTGTGCCGAGTGCAGGTGGCGTCTGGCCTCCCCGCGATCACGATCACGATCCTGTCGTTCATACTGCTCGGCAATGTTGGTGCTGGCCGGCGACGGGTTAAGCGTCAGCACGGAGCCGGTATCCGACAGTGAGGCCGCCGAATTGTTATCATCCTGAGCGAGGGACTGCCATCTGCTTACCTCTGCATTGACATCCTGGGCACCTGGGGGAGCGTCGTTGTAGCGCGCCATTATCTGGCGCAGCTCATCGCGCACATCCTCAGCGCCATAGTGCTCCGTGAAGTTGTCCTCTATCGCATCCGTGTCCATGAGGGCGAGCCAGGGGGACGACCCCTCGTGATCGCCATCGCCGTTTGGCGGCAACGCGTGACTCCCGTTGCTCATTGCGCTGCAGAAGTGATGTGAGAGAGATTAGGAACCAAAAAGTTTATGTTTTCATTAAGCAATTTTGATCAAAAAATTTTTCTAAACAGCCGTGAGACTGAATCGATATCGAAAAACTGAAGGGAAACACCAATACGAATCTGTGACAATGGGAA